CTGGGCCTTCTCCCGCCCACAGCCCCCCAACCTCCAACTCTCTTATACCCTCGGGTTTGGAGCACGCATCGCCTCCCCCAGGAAGGCCTCCGTGATGCCCCCAATCCCAATGAGCCGCCCTCCTCTGCTCTCCTGGGGATCCTGACTCCTGCCCGGAATCCCTGGCTTATAAGTCGAGATATACCCAGGATGCCTCTGGGTGCAGCTCGGAGCCTAGCACGTAGTAGGTGCTCAGAAAATGTCAGGGAGGGGAGAAGGAGAGAAGAATGATGTAAGAGAGAACAGAAAAAGCAGAGTACAAAGAAAGGAACCCACAGATCTGTGTGCAGGTTTGGGGGGGGGAACCGCATGTCCTGGTCCCCTCTGCGGTCCGCGCCTGCGTCACCCCCGCGTCGCAGTCTGGGGCCTGACATGGAGCACATCTTAGGAAACGATGTGTTCCCTTCAAAAGTCAACCGGACGCTCATGGCTGCCCCCTCTCTGCCCTCGCAGCCTGAACCTCAGCAACAGTGACATCCTGACCATCTACGATGGCGACGAGGTCACGCCCCACATCCTGGGGCAGTACCTTGGGAACACCGGCCCCCAGAAACTCTACTCCTCCACACCGGACCTGACCATCCAGTTCCACTCGGACCCTGCCGGCCTCATCTTTGGAAAGGGTCAGGGATTTATCATGAACTACATAGGTAGGTGTCTCGGATTTCTTCTTTTTTTTTTTTTCCTTTAATAATGGTTTCCCTAGATAGACCTGTTAGAAAGTTTTGTGCCAAGGAGATTGTTAAGATATCCGTACAGTCAATCTGTATGTTTTTTTTTAGTATCTGGGCTAGGGTTTGAGTCTCAGTACTGTCATCAATGGCTGTGTGACCATGGGCAAGTTACTGACCCTCTCTGAGCCCCCTTTTTGTCATCTGGGAATATGGGAATAGTGGTGACCGGGTTTCGTCTGGAGTCAGCTGAGATTGTGCATCTCAACAGCTCCGCTCCCATATCTGTACCTTCTCAAAACACACGCTTCAGCTTCTTGCCTGAATCTGAGGCTCGGCTCTCCCTAGGATCTTTCGCCGCTGCCACCCTGTGGGACAGGGACAGTTCTACGTCTCCCACTTCATGTACTTTGGGCCCTAGAGACGCAAGAGGCGTCTGCCTTGATCCTCGGAGGGGCTGCCTGCCCTTCCTCTCCTGCTCATCTTGAAACAAAGCCAAGAAGCACTCTGCTGTACCACTCAAGCTATGTCCCATGGGACCATCCTTGTCCCTCCCCCGTCACCCGCCCTCCCTCCTTAGTGGCTCCATCCTCAGTCCCAGCTCAGCCTCTAAACCCGGGCTCCATCCTGGCCTCCGTCCTCTCCTGCCTGTGCTCTCCTCCAGGTGGAAACGGCACCGTGTCCCAGGGACCTCTGGTGGGCACTTCCTGCCTTGACCGTGAACTTGACCACACAGCTCCCTGGGACCCCATCTCTCGAATGTCTCCTGGGCTCAGACCTAAGGTGGCCGGAGGGAAGGGTCTCGCTCCTGACCCACCAGCCACCACCACAGGCGTGCTCCGTGCCCGGAGAGGGGACCTTGCTTCCTCTCCCCCACGTCCACCCACCGCTCAACCCCACTTCTCCATGTGGCGCAGACCCACCCCACGCCTCTCCTCGGCCCCCACCCACCGCCTGCCCTCCTCCCTGCGGTGGGGAAGCTGGGCCACCGTGAGGTCCCAGTGAGCCTGGCCCTGGGAGGGACGTCAGGAGCACAGAAGATCTGGCCCGATCCTGTGGTGTCACACAGCCCGGGACCAGGGAGGACGAGGGACTCCCCCATCCAGGCACAGCCGGGGCCAGCCCTCTAAGCTCCTCCAGCAGAGAACCTGGGGCCACCGGGTCCATCAGGACCTGCCCTCCGCAGACATCGGAGGGCGGTGGGTCACACCTGCAGGTCCCAGCAGGCAGGATCCAGCCAGTGACCGGAGCCAGGGCCGGTCCCTCCCGGAACCACAGTGGCATCGTCATTCCCAGAGTGCATGGGGAGAGGAGGGTCCTTCCCACCCAGCCCCGGTCCACCACCACGTCACCAGGGATGCTCGGGCCCGAGCCAGTGTCCACGTCTCGAGTTCCTTCGCGCCCTTGGCCTGGGACTCACCCACCCCCCCTCACCTACGTGGCCTCCCTGCACCATTGCTGGCCTCTGAAGCACAAGCCGCTCCCTGACCAGCTCCAGCCTGCTGTGTGCTAAAATGCGGTCCCTGCCTTCATCCTCCCCAGCTGGGGACAGTTTTCATTCTCGCCTGCTACGCGTCCCGACTCAAAGACGCTAACACAAGTATCGACCTTTTGTCACGCTCCTCCAGGGCCCTGTTGGCCTTGATTGCGCTGCTAAATGTCGTCAGAGTGCGACTGCAGCCAGACCTGTGAGTCCCGCCTCGGGCGCATCAGGGGAGGCTCAGCTGGCTGTCGGGCCAGGTGCCCTGGGGCCAGCTGGGGGGCAGCTGGTGGCTGGGTCCAGGCTGCTCCTCAGACCTCCCCTCCCCCGGCTGAAAGACACGCCGGTGGCCGTGCCCACCTCCCCTCGGGTGCGGAGTCCACCCTGGGGAACCACGGTCAGCCCGATGGCACACGTCCCCCCTGTCGGAGGCTGATGGAGGTCAAGGGGGCACTCTGGCTGAACTTGAGACTTAGACTTGTGTGACACTTTACAGTTGACAAGTGGACACACACACACACACACACACACACACACACACACAATTTCATTTCACAGGAAATGTGGTGTCTCTGACTTCCAGGGAGTTTTGCTCACCAAGATCTCTTGAAATCTCCTGTAGGCCGGCTCCTCACTGGGCACCGGGATCTGGGAATGAGCAGAATCCTCTCCTGCCCTGAAGGAGAGGTGGTCCCATGAACCCCAATGTCAAGGTCAAGCACAGAAGGGGCTAGCACGGATGGTGGGGATGCTTCCCAGGAGACATGCAGCCTGACCGGTTTGGGTAACCCAAGAGAGAGACAGAGAGAGAGAGAGAAAAGAGTTTCCTTGATTCTTGTTCCTTTTGAAGAAACACCGTTAACCTCCCAGGAATGGCCTACGGAGCTCTGTTCCATTTTCATGCTGATCAGTTGTCAGTGACGGCTTCACCTGAAGACCCTGTGGAAGAGCACTCTGCAGAGTCCCCTCTCAAGTCAGGGGAAAGGATGCCGCGATTGATTGGTGATGCCTGTCACAGGGTGGGGGAGGCGTCTGCTCCCTGGCTCTAGATTTGACCAACATGGACACGGCTCTCATCCAGGGGAGGGGTCTGACGGTCTCTGGGGATCTGGGGTCTCTAGAGAGCACTGAAGCTCCCCATCTTACCTAAAGTCCTAACCTCTGGCCTCTGGGAGATGGCCAAGACTTAATCTGCTATGGATGCTTCCAGAAAGACCCCGGGGCTGCGTGCTCTGACCCCCCAAACCTCCTTGGCACCGACGGATGCCCTTG